AATAGGCAAGGGTATTTCTGAGAGTGTGTGAGGATAGTTCAATGCAATCTCAGAGGACTTCCAGCCTTATTTCATAATAACACTTTGGAAGAACCGAAAATGGAACAGATTGTGGGAAGGCAGGAAGGTTTCCAGAGATAGGGGATGAGTGACAGGAAATACATCAATCAACAACTCCATGCTCAGGTAGGGCTGGAAACAACTGTGGTTGCATTCCGTCTCCCAGTGGAATCTTGGGCAACTCAATTAACCTCTTTCTGCCACATTCTCATCAGTTATAAATTGAATACAACAATCCACCTAGTAGAGATTGCACAGGGATTTGGTAATAAATGTGAAGAGACAGCTATATGTGTGCTACCTAATAATATTAAGTTAACTAGCATAAAACCGTGGGGCTACAAAGCACACAAGGCATCAATCTAGTCTGTCCCCTGGGACCACGATTAAGCCATTCCAGAGGGATTCGTTGTAAAACCCTTCCTAAAAGGTGATGACTATATGAGAGAGGTCACAGAAAACCCCCTTTCTCGATGAGGCTTTCTTAAATTTCTTCTCTGTCCCAAGCTTAAGCTTGCATTGTTGTTGGCCTTGCCTCTGATATCCGCAGAGGTGGCAGCAGCCTGGTTTGGTGTCTGGACACTGGAGTCAGGCTGACTTGGGTTCTGATTGGTCTCATCTCTGTACATGGCCTGGAGTCGGTACAGCCTAAATTCCTCCTGCCTCAGTTTCTTCTTTATTCTAGCTGTCCCTCTGATTCTGATGAGGTGGAGGCACTGAGAAGCCTTACTCCTGGTGCTAAACCAAACCAGCCTTACTCCTGGTGTTAAATCAAACCAATGGTGTCCCAGGATTTTGTGGCTCAAGAGCCCCCCCCACCAGGTTTTGATGGGAGACGTGTTCTGCCATTGAGCTCTAGCTCTGACCCTAATTCTTGCTTACAGTTCTAACTTAAAAAATTCAAAGTGGTGAGAATTGGGGCTGGAAAATGATAATCAGTCCAGAGGTGACATACGGACAGTGGTGGAGAGTCACTGGCACTTGGTGGTGGGATGCCATGACTTTTGTTCATCAGTACCATAAACTTCAACACTATTGAATCCTATACAATACTATGATACATTTTAATTAATGCAAATAAACAAAGGAATAAGTCAACTCCTTAAATGGTAAAGAGCGCACACAGGAACCAGGACTGGAGATGGGCACAGGGTTTACATGTTCCATCTCCAGCACCACATGGACCTCGGGCATCCCAGTTCTGGCTTTGGGAGGACCCCAGCACTGCTGAGGTGATCCAGGGAGTCCCTGGTGCCAAGGGGCCTGATCTGTATTGCACCCTCCTGCCTTAATGGTAAAGCACTGGTCCGGTCGACCAAATCACTGGGAGTAGCCCCAAGGACCCCTAAGCAACACTTGGGGAGATCCAAAGGAAACATGAACCATTTGTTTTTCTCTGACCATACTCCAACGTCCCTATTTCTAATAGAAAGTTAAAAACTCTCAAAAAGGCTGACTGTGCTGTGTGGCTCCATAGATAGTCTCTTCTCCTAGGATCACAACGGAATCAGGAGTAAGAGGGGACACAGCCATTAGACGACCATTAAGAATCTGCTAAAGGGGCGAGAGTGATAGTACAGTGGGGAGGGCATTTGCCTTGCACGCAGCTAATCTTTTGATCCCAGCATCCCATGTGGTCCCCTGAGCAGCCCTAGGAGTAATTCCTGAGTGCAGAGCCAGGATTAAGCCCTGAGCATCACTGGGTATGACCCTCCCACACCCAACCTCTTTCACACACACACAAACATACAAACACACACACACTCACACACATACACACAAATCTGCTAAGGGCTTCCCCAGCTTCCCTAGTTTCCACTTGCATGGATGAAAACCCAGATCTTACAATGCCTCTCTCTAAACTCTCAGACAGACCAGGGATCTTGCAGTCTTCACCCTTCTGATTTTCCACTAATCCCTGAGCCCATGCAAAGCAGACGAGTTTCCCACATTCCATCATTTCCAAACTACTTCTGGCACAAGGAGGATCCATGACAAATGTGCTGATGCCTTTTCTCCCTGTATTTCCCCCATGTCAGCAGGGGGCTGTCACTGTTACTCTCACTGTCCTCCACTGTTCATCCATTTGCTCGAGTGGGCCCAGTAACGTCTCCATTGTGAGACTTGTTGTTACTGTGTTTTGGCATATCGAATACGTCCCAGGGAGCTTGCCAGGCTCTGCGGTGTGGGCGCGATACTCTCGGTAGCTTGCCAGATTCTCCGAGAGGGGCGAAGGAATCAAATCCAGGTCAGCCGGGACAGCCGCATGCAAGGCAAATGCCCTACCGCTGTGCTATCGCTCCAGGCTGAGCAGGGGGCTAGACACCATTATTTATTTCGCTACAGGTAGTAGGCATCTAACCAGATGTGGTCCAAAGAAGCTAATCTGGTAAACTTAATCCACTGAAGGGATATATGCAGCAGTGGTTAGAAAAGAGAGAACATTCCTACCCCAGCACCCACTTGAAAGCAGCAGGCCACAGGGAGAAAGGCTGTGTGCTATGTGCCTTGGGAACCCCAGCTGCAGCAGTGGCAGAGAACCCCTATTTCTCAGGTGGTTATAGAAATAGAATCGTGGAGTTTAAGGCACCAGCATGAACTTGATCAATGCATAGATGGTCAGGAACCAGGATGGCTCAGAGTCTCGATCCCAATCCATAGGTACCAATTAGCTCCCTGCAGTACCACATCTCAGAGGGAAGGGGGCATCCCGCCAATGTTTCTGAACAGCTAAGTAAGTGAATTCCTACCTATCAAGTGAGCAACTTAGCGAGCATTTCATACCTCCTCTGATCCCGGAAAGAGCCTGTGTGAAAAATAACTATCCTTGTTCTAATGCTGTGAATGCAAAGACTCAAGAGTGGCAGATGTTTGGCCCGGGCCTGCCATATCCCAATCCAGCACACTTGTTTCTGTGCCCTATGACTCATTTGTCCAGAGTCCTTCACCTAATCTTGAAACCCGGTGAATCACTTTGAAAGCAAACTTGAAATCACTTTAATAGATGCGTTTGTGGGATATACAGTTAATATTGCAATATTCTTTTCAGTTCACTTTATATTTTTGGGGGGGTAACATCTGGCTGTGTGGAGAGCTTATTCCTGGTTCTCAGGATCAGGGATAAATCCTGAGCACTGGGGATTGAATTTAGGTCAGTCACTTCCAAAGCAAGTTCCCTACCTGCTGGACTATCTATCTGGCCCAAATCTGCAACATTCTAAAATTATGTTATAAAAAATAAACATTAGGGGAAAAGAGAGAGATGTTATCACATCAAAATGGTAAAGGAATTTGGGTTTAGGTGGGAAGTGACAGGCAGGTTAATTTTCTGCATTTCTCACAGTCAAAATTTTCCTTAATAAACATGTTATGTTTAGAATAGAAAAAAGTGAGAATAATCAATTTGGTTTCTTTGTTTGGGGGCCACACCCAGTGGAGCCCTGGGCTTACTCCTGGCTCTGAGCTTAGGGATCACTCTTGATAGTGCAGGGGGGACCATATGGCATGCCAGGGATTGAACCTGGGTCAGCCACGTGCAAGGCAAGCATGCTGCCAAATGTACTATTGCTCTGACTCCAGAGTTACAGATTTTTTGAAGTAGCTTGAGAGTTAAAAATTTTACCCAACAGTAATAATGCTTCCTTTAATTGTTAAGGGGCACACACCTCGCAGTACTCAAGAGACCATGTGGTCCCAGAGATCAAAGGCTGGGCAAAGCCTTTGCTCCGGCCCTTAGAACTACCTTCCTGGCCCAAGGCAGCTTCCTAGAGGAGCAGAAAGATGCTTTTCTTGCCTCTGGGTAATATCTACATGGCAACTGAGCACTGAGTCAAGTTATTTTGATTAGGCTCAACTCTCTGTAGATAAATGTCAAAACAAAGAATCATTAGAGAAGTGGGTAGGGTCACACTTAGTGGTGCTCAGGGCTTACTCCTGAGTCTGTGCTCAGGGATCACTTCTGGTGGTTCAAGGGATCAAGTTTGTTTTGCCAGGGACTAAACATGTGTTAGCAGTGAGCAAGTTAAGAGCCTTAACCCATGTACCATCTCTCTGGCCCCAGGCAAAATGACTTTTAAATTTGAATTAAGTCCCAACTTTTCCTCAAAGGGACCAATTCACAGTAGTAGCAAATTAGCAAGTTAGGAGAAATAAAATGTAAAATTCTGCATTGAACTCTGGGCCTTTCTTTACTTTCCCTGCTCATCCCTGGAAGAATTCCTATCAGCAATATCTAGGAGGATAACTTTGGGGATAGTGAGACAACAGAATTTATTTGAAAGGGGCAGGAGGACATAGGCGGTAACCACTACATATCCATCCTCTGAATGCTCAGTGAACAGCCTGACACCATCCTGAGGTGAAAACGAAGGTCTTCCTGGCATAGATCCCTCCCCACAAGCTTTCGGTAAACTCCCGAGTCCCTTCCCTGATGTACCTTTTTTCTTCTCACAGTGGCAAACTTCTGAGGGACCCATTCTCCTTTCCTCCATTTCTATTCTCTGGGCATTAATCACTCCCCTAGTATGTTTCTTTATACCCCACAAATGAGCGAGAGCATTCTGTGTCTATCTCTCTCCCTTTGACTCATTTCATTAAGCACAATATTTTCCAGATCCTACAATGGAACAGCAAATTTCATGACTTCATCTTTTCTAATGGCCACATCAGAGATTCAAATAAATTATTTTAAAAAAACACACAGTAATCCTGACTAGAGCAATAGCACAGTGGGTAGGACATTTGCCTTGCATGCGGCCGACCCGGGTTCAATTTCCAGCATCCCATATGGTCCCCTGAGCACAGCCAGGGATAATTTGTGAGTGCAGAGCCAAGAGTAACCCCTGTGCATCTCCAGGTATGATCCAAAAAGCAAAAAGCGAAAAAAAAAAAAAACAGTAATTGTCAAAAGCAACTACTATTCCCCCCACTGTGTCACTCACCTTCACACCGTCCAGTGCTCTCCAAGTAAAACTGGGCTCTGCAGTGGGGCAGGCACTCGCCTGAGGGAATGTCAACCCCAGGCAGTGGTGTTGCTTGCAGTGCGTCCTCTGGCTTCTTACACCGGGTGCAGTGAGAGGGCTCTGGGCCCACGCAGGCCAGGCAAGAGGGATGGCAGGCTGCCAAGGGACACAAGGCAGGAAAGCAAGGCCATGGTCATATATACGGGCACCCCAGGAAAGTCCTTCATGAAGCTCCAACCACTAGGAAAAGGTCACCACATACATCTCTTCAGAGAATTGGTTTCCGAGTATTCTCAGCAAAGCACAGGGTGATAATATTTGTACAAGCCAGAATGAAGTGATTTTACTGGGCATGTCTCACTGATCCTGAAAGGGCTATCAGGTGACATCCTGGGGAAAAATAGTGTCCTGGGCAACACCAGCGTGGTTCTCCAGAGAAACATATTCACTGTGTACCAATTTAACCCTGCGTCTCTCCTTTTTAGTGGCGATCTTAAGAAGCATTCGTATGAAGGCCATGACTACACTCTTTTGCAAAAGTAGTGGCTATGTTATCGTCCATTATATTATCTACCACCCTCTCTATTGGGGTCCAGGCAAGCAATTCCTCTTCTGATTTATGGGAAGAAAGACTACTTCTCTAGATGAGGAAGAGGACTCTTGTGAACAGCAGTAAGAATGTGACCATCCATCATCACTCTTTTCTGGCTACTGGTGAAAATCAGAGCCAAATAGAGGCCCGAAACAATCTCATCCCCACATTTTGAGAAGACGAACCTGTCTAAATTTAAAATATTTTCTAGGTTTTCATTTTTAGAATATCTCTTTCAGATGCCCCACTTTAAATGTGCTTTTCTCGTAACTATTCTCAAATTCTTTTCCAAGGTGCCCTTATGTATACATAAATTAATTTTCCTTAATTAAATTGTTTGTTTCCAATGTTCTACTTTCAAAAGGCTCAAATTCTACTGCCTTCTCAAAGAGCCCAAAGCCTTTTTGGCAAACAGCTACTTAAGATTTTCCATTTTACTCTGCCCAGAGGCCCTGCTAGTGATGCTCGGTGTACTCTACAGTATCATTAACAAAAAAAGAAGTTCTTCAGGGGAAAAAAAAAATGAAGACAGGGAAAATCATTAGCCATGCTAGGAGACAAGAAAGTGGAGGAAACCAGGGTTCGGGTTTTGTTTCTGAGGAGGCTGAAGCAAATGACACTCCCTTCACAGAGAGCCAGAAAAATCTTCCGAGGTCCCTGTACAGAACTGGGTAATGAGGAAAATGCATAGCGGTGAGAGATATTAGAGGAAAAGTCGCCCTGAAAAGTCACATCCGTGTCACTGGAATGCCCACCCGGCAATACCTTTGCAGACCCCGTGGTCGGGGTGGAATCCCTCTCCACAGCTGGGCAGGCAGAGACCTTGGCGTAGAGCCCGGGGGTGGGGACAGGAAGTGCAGTGGGAGACCAGAGGTCCAGAGCAGCTGGCACAGGAGTGATGACATGCTGAGGGACAGGGAGACACAATGACACTGAGGTGACTAAGGGCCTCTTCTGGGGAGAAGTCCTCAGAGCTGGTGCTCTTAAGCCCCTCCTCACTGATCCTCCACGTCCGAGGAAAAGGTGTTACGACAATACCCCTTTACCCATCTTGCATCCTCTATTATTTCACTGATTTCCTTTATTTAGTGTTTGCATTAAATACATTATTTTCAATATTCATAGCAACATACTGTTAATCACATTTTACAGATGAATTCATTCATTGGGGAAACCAACGTCTTTTTTTTTTCCCTTTCTGGTTTTTTGGTCCACACCTGGCAGTGCTCAGGCATTATTCCTAGCTCTGCATTCAGGAATCACTTCTGGTGATGCTCAGGAGACCATAGGGGATGCCGAGGATCAAACTCGGGCTGGTCATATGCAAGGCAAGCACCCTACCTGCTGTACCATGACTCCAGCCCCAGAAAACTGAAGTCTTAAAGGGTTCAAATATTTATAGAGGGTAAGAGAGAGAGAGAGAGAGAGAGAGAGAGAGAGAGAGAGAGAGAGAGTACAGTAGTATATAGGGATAAGGCATGTGCTTGTTTGCAGGCCACTGATCTGAATTCAATCTCCAGCATTGCACATGGTCCACTGAACCCCACCAGGAGTGATCCCTGAGCACAGAGCCAGAAGCAATCCCTGGGCATTGCTGGGTGTGCCCCCACATCACTAAAAATCATAGAGGGGGCTGGATTTAGCACAAGAATTGTCTGAACCTAAAACTCATACTCACTAAGTGTAAAATAGTGGATAGTCACGGGTCTAGCTTCCTAAGCAGGGCAAGAGGTTGGACTAAATGATAATTTTAGATTAATCCAACAGGGACATTCAAGGACTCTAAGTATTCAAAAGTGTGACCATGACCTGTGACAATGACAGACCTGCATCTCCTTGGTAACAGAGAGACATTTCTGACTCTAAGAGACAGATGGTATCATGGCTTGTCCTTGAGGACAGAAAGAAAAAAGTGGAAGAATCCAGGGGACAAAGGTCAGACCCAGGAGAGGCGAGTGTTGAGATGGGACGAGTCCCTGGGGAACAAGATGTTAAAAAAAAGAGAATGAACAGTGGGTAAAAGAAGGGATTGGCCAACAAGCAGAGTTGCTAAGGAGGGTTGTGGGACAAGCATTCAGACCCTTCCACTCGTGGGTAGATATTAGAAAAAGTTTGATGTTTTAAAGAGAATGATCTATAAAATGTTCTAGGCAGATTTCAGCTTGTGAAAAAAAAGACAGGAATCAAGTACATAGCTGTAAGAACCTTAAAATTTTGAGACGGGAATGTTTCTAATGTTTTTAAGTCTTAAAGAAACAACATAAAAATAGCTCATAAAATTTTTTAAAAAAACACACACAAAATAGACAGGCTTCAGATTCAGATGCTATTAAATTTAGCTCCCCTCTTTATTTTGGGGTTATGTTATAGTTCTCTGACCCCTGTTTGTATGAGGAATGATTCTGCCAAACGTACTATCTTAATTAGTGATGACTTACAAGCCTATAAGGACTGTATGATGATCGTCGAAAAGATGTTTTTGGCATTCAAAAAGGACTCAATGATGTTTAATTGTGATTGATTCAGGTAAATCCTTTATCTAATCACTCTAATCTCACAGTCTCCACTCATATCTTCCACATAAACACACATAGGTTCCGTAATGAAAATAGAATTCCTTTTAATTTGGCATTCTCTCATCACTCAAATCTGCCAATGAGCAGCCCACAGCACTGAACATGTTGAATTATTTTTGATACGATGATGATGACGATCCAGGTCTTACCTTTGCATCTGCCAGTGGCATCAGCGTAGAACCCATCGGGGCATTCAGAAATGCATTTCCTATCGTGCAACACTGTCTTTCCAACACAGGTGAGACACCTGGGGCTATTGGGGCCACAGCTCTTACAGGACTGGTCACAAGCTACGGAAGAGGAAAAGCCACAGACATACTCAATAGGGTGGAAAGGGAGCAGTGTCCTATCTGGACCAAAGTGAAGTTAGTGTCAACACAACAGTCACAGGCTGGCTTCCTGGTTGGCTTCTGTTTCCAACATTTCAGAAGACTTCACTTTCAACTTTCACAGGTGAAGGAGAACCACGAATTATTCACTGAAGGAAGCGTAACAAACACTTGGAGGCACACTCACTAGTGTATCTAATTCATTATAAAATCTAAAGTCAAAACAGCCTTTGGGTGGGGAGAGTTACTGGATTTTTAAAAAAGAATTTTAAAATGATTGTTTAAAGTTTAGGTAACGTGGTTACAACAGTGCTCACGTTCTTGATTATGATGTACAAATTACTGCCCCTTCAAAACCACAGTGTCCAAAGGTCATGGAAATTTGCTAGATTTAGCAAATAAAAGTACCTGGTGCTCAATTAGATTTGAATTTCAGAACTTAAAATTTAGTAACATTTTTAATTTGTCTCTTCCAACTATCTTATCCTCTATTTTATTCGATAACCCTAGAGAGGAAATTTAGAAATTCAGAATTGAAACTAAGAAAGGTCAGGTTATAAAAATCATGTTAAACTTCACCTAGTCTTCCAGCATCTACTCATTTATTTAATTATCTGGTCCCACAAGTATTTTTTAAGCTCTCTGTCAGGTCTGTGCCAAGTGACAGAAAACACAAAACCCAAATTAACTTAGTTTCTGCTTTAAGAGGCTTAAAGAGGGTCTCACAGATGGAAAGAGACATGTAATATTAGACATACAGAACACGTCTCTTGGGTCAGTCTGTCTAGGTGGTGAAAATTCCAAAAAGATGGTTGGAGGCGTAAAAGGCCAAGAAAGAATTTATAAAGAAGCAAGCCCTAAGCACTGTTTTGGGAGGTGGGAAGAGCAAGCCGGGTTGATGGGAATATATTTCTGGATGAAGCAGCAAGTCAAGAAAGGACCTGCAAACAGTCTGCAAACAGCCAGGCTGTCTGCAGGAACAATTCTTATTCAACTGGAAAAATGGGAAGAGTCATACTACGGAAACCTGTAGGGCAGTCTCATCCAATGAAAGGTCCTGGGGGTTCCTGAAAGTTTTTGTTTGTTTTGTTGTGGGGGGAACACAGCCGGTGATACTCAGCAACTCTTTCTGGATCTGTGCTTAAGGATCGTTGCCAGCAGTAGGAGTCCCTGTGTAGGGATTACCTTGCTCAGAAATGGGGCTGAGAGTGTCTCGGCCAGCCCCGGGTGAGGGTCAGGCTCATGATTAGATTCTTGGCTGAGAATGGAAGGGGGAAGAGAGGAAAATAATCAAAAAGATAAGTGAATGATTCATCTCTCTAATAGTGTAAATAGTCAAGACTGGTACGGAGTCTAGGAAAGCTTTCTGAAAAATAGCCTGAATAATTGTTGGAAGAATCTCAAGGAGAAAAGAGGGGGTGTAACTTCAAAAGCAGAGATGGAGATTAGCCTTAAACAGAGCAGAAAATTCTCCTATATCTGAAAGTCGAAGAAGGGAGGGAAGATGTTTTAAGTTGCCCACATTTTGATTCAATTATGCTATACTCTTAGGCTTTTATTTATTAGGATTTTAATTTATTATTACTTGGGTAGCATGGTTTTATGATGTTTATGTGTACGGAACTATACCCACCACCAGAGTGTCAATGCTTCTCCAGCACGGTCTTAAGGTTCTTTCTAGTCACTCCCCTTGGAAAGAGGCTAAGCTCTTTACAAACAAAGCAAGGGAGTGAGAGATACTGCTCAAGTGATAGAGCACAGGCTTTGGCATGCTGGGCTCTGGGCTTAATCCCTGGCACCCTTATTACTGCTGGGAGCAGCCCTGCCAGGCATGGCCATCAGAGGAATGGAAAATGAAGTAATGCTCACTATGAGAGAATACTTCAGAAACAGAGACTACTGTGATTATTATTCTCTTAATCCACTTCCGCCACACTAACCCACTGAAAAGTAAGTATCTCAAACACTTAGGGGGAAAAAATGACAAGTGATGGGATCAAATGTTGCATCCTGCATCCAAGCAAACTCAATAGCTTTCTAGAAGAAACATGAAGGGCAAAATAATCTTCAGTAAATGGGCAAGGATAATAGCCTAATATATCAGAGACATTCATCAGTGAAACATGGAAGTAAAAAAAAATAAAAGAATGTGAGTAGTATTCTCCCCTCCCAGCCTCCAAAGACATCTAAATATTTCTAATTCTAATTGAACAACTCAACAGAAGTGAACAAACTACAAATTAAGTGAATTTTTCCAGACTTGATGAGATGTAGAATAAACTTAGAATGGATCAACAAAAAATTACAAATCAAACATTTAAAGATGTCTAAATAATACTTAAAGTATATATTTTAAATTAACATAAAATTGTTAGGAAGATGTCATTTCTCCCCCAAATAATCCAAAATTTTCTTGTAATGTAAAGGAAAGAATCCATTTAAAATGATATAGAATGATATCTCGAAGATGGAACAATGGCCAAAGGCAACAGAACCTAAGAGTTGGTCTTACCATGGGCAGGGGTGAGGGGAGGTGGGTGGTAGGGAACTCTTAGTATTGGGAGGCAATAGACAATCTGCTGGAGGGTGTAGTCTTAGAACATTTTGTGCAGGAAAACCTATCATTAACAGTGTTGTAAATCATGATACCTCAAATTAAAAAAAATCAGTGAGCATATTTTAAAGTTCGTGCATAGCTAAGTCTAATTTGAAAATAAAATGAAATAAAGGGAGAATTTGCTGAACTAAGTGTTGAAAGCTAGCATAAATAAAAAACAGTAAACAAAACAGAGCAATAGGATAGTGATGCAAATACCAATATTTCTACTACTGGAATAGTTTAGAGACCAACGTATGTGCACACGAAAATGTAACTATGGCAAATGAATGGAGAAGTTTCTGCTGAATTACTTGATGATCTGGGGAAGACTGGGTCACAAAAGGGAGAAAATTCAAACAGGATCTCCTCTTAAATACATACATACAAGTGAACGCAAGTGTATGAGTCAAAAAACTAAATCAAGATAAAACAATTAAATTAATAGAGAAATATGTATATAAAAATTTCTTTGTGAACCTGCAAGGCATAGGTCTCTTTAAAAATCTGAAAATAAAACTGTAAAGTGAAAAATTCTGCATTACGAATTTCTGCTTGACAAAAGGCAGCATAACAAATGTATAAAAGGTAATAGGAAGGGAAAATATTGTATGCCAGGACTGACAAAGTTACTATCTATAACATACTGGGAAACTCAATAAAACCTACCATGAGAAAGCAACAGAGAAAATAATAGCAAAAACAAATTAAAAATCAACTTACAGAAATGGTAAACCCAAGTGGGAGTGCAAGATATTCTCAAAATCATTAAAAATCAAAATAATGAAAATCAAAATGAGTTGTGTCTGTATATCTCTTGACCTGAAAAGGATTCAAAGCTTGATAATCAAATGGCAGCAAGAATCCAGAGATGAGGGGCCAGAGAGATAGTACAACAGGTAGGGCCTTTGCCTTGCATGCGGCCGATCTGGATTGGATCCCCGGCATCCCTTATGGTCCCCTGAGCACTTGGCAGGCCCAAATCCTGAATGGAGAGCCAGGAGTAACCCCTGAGCATTGCTAAGTGTGACCACAAAATCAAAATAGTAATAATAATAATAATAATAATAATAATAAATCTGGAGATGAGAGGGCACTCAGGTCTGGGCACAAAGTATGAATACTAGATTGCTCTTGGCTCCATGTGATCAAAGAACAGGATGTGTTGAGTCAAGAAACTCTTTACTCAAGAAATCAACCCTTCGATCCCTGCGTTTTTAGGGGGACGTTCAAGTCTATTCACTGGTCCCCTCCAGTGATGGTCTGTGGATGGAGTGATTGAGGGTGTCTCTCAGTGGGAGAATGGACGGGTGAGATGTGGGGAAAACAGTCAAGGGAGCACTGTGCAGTAGTAAGAAGCAAAGCATTACGATGAGAGAGCAACGGAGATAAACCTTAAAAAACAGTGTTGAGTGAACAAAAAGAAGAGAAAGTTTCACTCTTTAACATCACTGTCACTGTCTCTGTTCTCCCATTGTTCATCGATTTGCTCGAGCGGGCCCAGTAACATCTCCATTGTGAGACTTGTTACTGTGTTTGGCATATTGAAAACGTCATGGGTAGCTTGCCAGGCTTTGCCATGCGGGCGAGATACTCTCGGTAGCTTGCCAGTCTCTCCAAGAGGGGTGAAGGAATCGAACCCGGCTCGGCCGGGCTGGCTGCGTGCAAGGCAAACGCCCTACCGCTGTGTTATCACTCCAGCCCTTTAACATCATATTGTTGAAAAGTTACACAAATACCATATACTCAAAATGACAATGCCCAGAGTCCAGAGGGATAGAACAGCAGATAGGGCATTTGCCTTGCATGTGGATGACCTGGATTTGATCCTCAGCATCCCCAAGTACGGCCAGGAGTAAGTCCTGAGTGCAGAGTCAGGAGTAACCCCTGAGCAACACTGGGTGTGACCTCCCCAAACAAAACAAAGCAAAGAGACAATGCTCAGTTTACATGAATTTATAAAAGTTAAATGATAAACACATGAAAAGAATTCTACTTTTGTACATTTAAGCCAAGAAAATAAAACCACTAACTCAAAAACATATATGTAACCAAAAGTTCATTATATTATTATTCACAGATGCCAAGATATAGAAACAATCTAAGCGTCTACCTACAGATAAAAGAAAATACACTGTGTATATGTATATAGATACACATAATAATGGATATATATTATATGCATTTATTAAAATTCTTTTCATTATAAAAAGAATAAATTTTGCCATTTGTGACAAGACTGGACTGTGAGTCATCATTTCAAGTGAATTAGGACATATACTGTATGATCTCACTGAGTGTCAAAGAATAAAAAAATATATTAAGTTCATAAAGACTAGGCACTAATCAATGGTTACCAGAAGAAGAGTTAGCAAGAATCTACTGTATATTTAGGAATCGTTATAAGAGTAGACACTAAAAAATAAATGTTATAATTCTGCATGATGCTAAGCCTAAAAAGTACTATTGATCGCTTCTCAATGATAATAATAATAATAATAATAATATGTAATTATTGTGTTGCACATCTAAAGCTAATATTAAGTTATAAGCAGATTATACTTCAATAAAAAGTAAAACAGTTGCATATGTAAAAAAGGAAAATGGGAATAAAAGGAAGGAAGGAAAGAGAGAAAAGAAAAGAGATAGGGAGATTGGTTAACAGAAACTTCTGAACTTGCTTTGATTTATTATGTTAGCTAGACTCAGGAAAGCCCTTCATAAAAGCACAAGCACTTAAAAGACCAAAGAATGGGAAGGTTTTGTACTTTCCCCACCCTTTATATCTAATATTTGTAAAACATAAAGCACGTACCACAGAATAACTTAGCTATGAGAAATCTTTTCAGACCACTGTTTATAACAGGTTATGCTGGATTTTTCCCAAGAGTTGACTTTGAGATTTCTGCAGATAGGGGCTGCTTGTATATAAATCATTAAACCAACATCAGCTGGTCTTTATCTTGAATAGCACTAACCTGAATCAAAAATGGGTCACACTATCAGCAACAGACGTCTTAATTAACATTCCAATCCTAATCAGAGATTGGATTTACTGTTGTTTCAGAAAATAGTTATACAGACATTTCTGGAGGCGTTTAATACAAATTTTGGGAACTGGGGAACTAATAATTTTATGAGAATCATAAACTCCAGCCTTGTGTATCAAAAGGCCTTTTTTGGCCAAACCCAATGATATCAAAAAATCTGGCATCTGATAAAGCATATGGCAAAGGTCTTCAACAAATACCTGTTGATCAAGTGATGGGTTGATTTGATGCTAACAATGGCCAATTCTACTGCATGGAAATTATCATTCTGATGTTTTATGTCAAACTGTACGCAGACAGCATTTCAGGTATATGCTCTCTCGTTAAGCCACATACTCAGGAGCCTTCCTTTTACAGTTCTTCCCATTCATAAGAAGCCTGGTGTTCTTCACTCAGTCCCTCAGCCCTCAGTCCTCTGGGCTCACACTAACCATCACTCCTTCCAAATACACCAAATGCTCACTTCAGGTCATTCAGAGGTTCTTGGACACAGCAACTTTAAATAAAATGGTGTGTAACAAAAGTAGGTCCTTAAATAAGTTGTTTGATATTTTTCCATCACTGTGATAATGAAAGGACACTCAACAGCATGACCATTCAGATAATACTCTCTGAATAACAAGTCAGGAGCAGGCTACTCATCAGTGACAGACTCCTCGGGACATCAAGGGTAAATGCCTTTGGGCCTCTGGGTTAGTGAAAATATGACATATGCTGACCTTCAAAGCACACATTTGGCTTAATTGAGCCGGAAAGCGATGCTGGCAGGAAAGATTAAAATCTCAGGCTAATGGCTGCCTGGCCTTTCTTTCCCTTGCTCTCTCCTGCACCGACACAAAAGCCACCTGTAACTTGTCCCTAACATGTGAGATTTTTTTCCCCACTAGAAGCTGATGGGTCTCTGCATAGCCTTCAGCAAGCAGCTGCCACCGGCCAGATCTCTCTTCCCTAAGACAAGTGGGTTTGTCAAATCCTAGAGACCGGCTCATTTTGGCTGTCGCCCAGCTCAGTAGAGAAAAAGACGATGATAAATAACTCATAGGCCGGGCATTTTATTAATGTAGTGGATTTAAATGATTAAAAAAATTCACAGGCTTTTTTTTCTACCGGTTTGACCATAGCAAGAAACTCAATTCAAACCTCTCAGTTCAGTGCCCCTGTCTCCTTGGATGGACCTGGCCAAGTCCATGAGACTAGCAGGTTGACCTCAAGACCAGGGAATGGACAGAGGAGGAGAGAAGAGGGGAACTGAGGAGGAAAGAAGAAGGAAAATAGTGGCACTTAATACCAGATTGGTAAAGGGATTCAAAGGGAAAACCTAAATTGAGGAAGAGACGTGAGCTTGAATTTCACACTGTCCCTTAACCTTAGCTCTGTAACCTTAGGCAAATTTCTTCTTTTTTTTTTCTTTTTGGGTCACACCGGATGATGCACAGGGGTTACTCCTGGCTCATGTACTCAGGAATTACTCCTGGCAGTGTTCGGGGGACCATATGGGATGCTGGGAATCGAACACAGGTCGGCTGCATGCAAAGGCAAATGCCCTACCCATTGTGTTATCACTCCAGCCCCAACTTCGGCACTGTAGCACTTAGCACTGTCTTCCCGTTGTTCACCAATTTGCTCAAGCGAGTCCAGTAACGTCTCCATTGTGAGACTTGTTACTGTATTTGGCATATCGAATACATCACATGCGGGAGAGATACTCTCAGCAGCTTGTCGGGCTCTCCGAGAGGGGCAGAGGAATCGAACTCAGGTTGGCCGTGTTTGCTGCATGCAAGGAAAACACCCTACCACTGTGCTATTGCTCCAGCCCAATTTCGGCTCGAAGGAGATGCCCCACCTTAGGCAAATTTCTTAATCTCTTTGCTTCTACCTCTGGAGATATGTGATAATAGGCATCTCATAGCCCAATTAAATACCAAACACAAGGCTTTTACTCAACATTGGGCATGGTGCTAAGTGCTTTAGGGTCAGAGATATATACAGCAGTGCTTGCCTTGCATGCCACCAACCTTGGTTAGAACCCTCACACTTCATATGGCCCTCCAAGCTTTACTAGGAATGATCCCCCAGCACTGAGCACTGCTACATATGACCCTCAAACTCAAATAATCAAGCAATCAATCTCTTGCATATGGCAGTCCTTAGCTAACTACCCCTTAGGAGGTGGGTGAGTGGGATTCCCATCATTGTCATCAAAATCACCAGGAAGTAAGTGGTTCCAAACAGCACAAATGTATCATCCTGCAGCCCTAGAAGTCAGAAGTCCCATATCAAGGTGTTGGTAGAGCAGATTCATTCTGGGAAGCTCGGAAGGGATGTGAACTTCCAGGTTCTAGAAGCCATTGGCTGCTCGTGGCCTTGTCTTGACATCACTGACCACCACTCACCCCTCGGTCTGCTGCAAAGCCTTTCTGATAACGCCTCCACCATGCGGCCCTCAAATAAAAGCCTAAAAACACCTTTTGTGCTGTTTCTCAGGTAAGACGGCTATAGCAGCGTTAATGTTTGTGGTTTTAATGGACATTATGGCACCTTTACCACCACCAAACTGCCCGAGACTCTCCACCATTGTCTTTGGGTCACTTCGCGTTTCCCACGCCTATCCCCTCACCTGTTCCCCACTGCTTGGTAATCAGTTTTGTGACCAAGTGTTTGTCACCATTTGCTACTGACTATTCCAAGGAGCCTGAGATGACTTGGCTCGGGGTATCCACAACAGGGTACTCTCCTCATCTCAAGATTTTTACTTAAGCATGGTTGCAAAACTCCCTTGCTATTCAAGGCACCATTTCCTTTCATTTATTTATTTACTTATTTATTTTTATTATATCACTGTGAGATACAATTACAAAGCTTTCACATTTGAGTTTCAGTCATATAATGATCAAACACCCAACCCTCCACCAGTGCACATTTTCCACCACCAGTGTTCCCAGTATCCCCACCCATCCCAACCCTCCCCCTGCCTCTAAGGCAGACAATTTCCCCCATACTCTCTCTCTACTTTGGGGCATTATGGTTTGCAGTACAGATACTAAGAGGCTATCACATTTGGTCAAGGCAACATTTTCAAAGGATTTGGAGACCAGGATACGGGGGATGCTGAGGAGATATTCTTCTGCCCACCACAGTACTAATCTCCCCCATTTTATACAAGGAAAAGTGACAGATAGAGAGATGAAGTAGCTAACCCATGGTCACCCTCGCTCCCCGATACTCTCTGCTTCTCCCTGGCTTGGAGAAGTGCCTGCTGCACTGTTAATCTAAACTGGTTGACTCCTATTGTCAGAGTGGCAGTTCGAGGCAGAGCAGACCTGCTTTACTCTTATGGCCATAGCGCCAATTCCAGTGGAATATCTGCCTCTGAGCAGCCTAATTGCGTCTTTGCTTCCGTGCAAACTGGGAAGGTAGCCTGAAGTAAACGGAGTTTAGGATATAAAGGAAGGAAGATGCGCTGTCTCCGACAGCTGTGGTGGAAGCAGGTACCCTGTGGGGGATGGTTTTCCCCTGCAGAATAAGGCTAGACTGAACAGCACCCCAATCTGATGAGCATCCCAAAGGTTGGCCATTAAGAAGGATTTTGCAAGTGTGCGTGAGGGCGGTAGGGCATTTGCCTTACATACAGCCAACCCATCTGGAGCTTCAATTCCTCCACCCCTCTCAGCAAGCCCGGCAAGCTACCTAGAGTATCTCGCCCGCATGGCAAAGCCTGGCACGCTCTCCGTGACGTATTCAGCATTCCAAACACAGTAACAGCAAGTCTCATAATGGAGACGTTACTGGGCCCGCTCGAGCAAATCCATGAACAACGGGAGGACAGTGACAGTGACAGTGGATGTGTGGGGTGCTTAGGAAAACGCCTGTGCTAACTGTCATTTGCATATTTGTGGAACTTTAACCCATGAGATTCTCACTGCTGTGATTGAAACAAAACACAGGTTGTGGGGGTGGAGAGACAATACAGAGGGTAAGTGAGGGTTCAATCCACAGCACCACATATTGTCCCTTGAGCCCCCCAGAAATGATCTCAGAGCACAGACTTAGAGTAAACCCAGAGCAAGCACCAGCAGGTGTGACCCAAACCACCCCCACCCACCCACACCCCCTCCAAAGTCCCCCAGGGTGTGGTAGCACCCTGACACTTACCAATGCAGGTCCCTTGCTTGTTGTAAAAGCCATCACCACAGCTGTCTTGGCAGCTGCCATCTCGCAGCACGTGCAGGGGGTCTCTGCAGGACGAGCACTGCTTCTCCGTGGGACCCCAGCAGGTGGCACAGGACTCGCTGCAGACTGTGGGCAAACAGCAAACTTGGTGAGCAAGGACCGTCGAAGAGCAGCGGGCGATTCTTTCTTTAAAGGTTTTGGACTGGATAAGCAGGAGGTGGCGCCTTCATTCCTAAACCACCATGAATCTATGGACAGGGTTGGAGTAGCCCAGCCGAATCTAAACTCAGTGTATTGCAATGAACAGACAATTGCAGATATCACTTCGACTATACTTTTTTGCCTCTCTGGGATATATTCCCAGGAGTGGTATTGCTGGGTCAAATGGGAGCTCAATTTCTAATTTTTTGAGAATCGTCCATACTGTTTTCCAAAAGGGCTGAACCAGTCGGCATTCCCACCAGCAGTGAAGGAGGGTCCCTTTCTCGCCACATCCCCACCAACACCGGTTGCTTTTGTTCTTTGTGGATGTGGGCCAGTCTTTGTGGTGTGAGATGATATCTCTAGTGCCCAAGAACAGATGACTGGTTAAAGAAACTTTGTTACATTTGCACAATGGAGTACTATGTAGCTGTTAGAAAAGAGGAAGTCATGAAATTTACCTACAAGTGGTACAACATGAAAAGTATCATGTTAAGCGAAATGACTCAGAAAGAAAGGGATAAACATAAAAAGATTGCACTCATCTGGGGAACATAAAGTAACAAAATAGGAGACTAACACCCAAGAATGGCCGAGATTACTACCAGGAATTTTGCTCCATGGCTTGGAGGCCAGCCACACATGCTAGGGGAAAAGGGAGTTCAGATAGAGAAGGGAACACCAAATAAAGGTGTTGGGAGGATTCTCCCAGGATGGGAGAAGCATGCTGAAAGTAGACTATAGACCAAACATGATTGTCACCCATCGCCTCTTTTGCAAACCACAACACCCAATAAGAGAGAGAGAACAAAAGGGAATGCCCTGCCACAGAGGCAGGGGGGGATGGGGGGATGGAGGGATGGGAGGGATACTGGGATCCGTGGTGGTGGGAAATGGGCACTGATGGAGGGATGGGTATTTGAACATTGTATAATTGAAACCCAAACACAAAAATTTGTAAGTCTACAACTGTACCTCATGATGTCTCACTAATAAAAATTAAAGAAAAACAAAAACTCAGTGTGTTAGCCAGAAACACGGATCTGATCAGTAGCTGCTCAGAGAACTGGGGAAGAGAATCAATGATGCAGGCAGAGAACGAAATGAGAAGGTGCTTTACCACTCTCACCTCACCTCTTACTCCAGGGGACAACCACTGTGGCCCCTCGCAGCTCGAGGGCCACCTTAGGACAATTCCACAACCTTGATTAGGTCTTGAAGAATCAGGGGCTTGATTTCTACCAGTCATTCGGTTCATTCCATTCTTCCCTCACTCTCTCTTCTGTCCATCATAATTTTCTCCATCCCTCTCCATCCTAGCTCTCCCCACCTCTGCGCCCCCCTCGACTTCCTCTCTAAATGTAGAACATTAGGACCCGGGGGCTTATCTTTCTCCTGCACTTGATGTTCCAAAGCGTACGATGCTCATTGAGCACTCACTTCCAGGAGTTAGGAAATGCCTCCTCTTCCAGCATTTGATTTGTAGTTACTATTCCTGCCCGTGTCACCTTTACACTGCTATGAGAGGCCAATTCTGAGTGATTGAATGTATTCAGGTTTGGCTAACTGCACACTCACCTCCGTGCATTTTGTTAATGCATCCTCTTTCTGACTGCTGCTTCGCTGTAGAGCACATCCTATTTTGCAGAGGTGTTCATTCTGACCAGAATTGGTGGGGAGAATAGCTTTGCTGATTGCAAGAGCCTTGGTCACTCTACCCCAGCCATTCAATTAGGTCTCCCTTTGGACTGGGAAGAAAGGATTGCGACGCTGCACACTTCAGGACCCAATCGTCTTCTCAGTCCCAGAGTCACAGACAGGACAGGGACAACGACAAAGAGCTAAGTGGTGAGGTAAGAGGGATAAATGGTAGACAGATCTAAAAGGTGGGGGCAAATGACCATCATTTATTTATTTCCTGACTTAATTTGATTTTGGGCTATGCTCAGCAGTGCTCAGGACTTGCTCCTGACTCTGTGCTCAGGGCTCCCTCCTGGTGGGGCTGGAATTGAATCCGGGTGAGCCATGTGCAAGGCAAGGGCCTCATGTGCAGAACAATCACTCAAGCCCCCCATGTGGGTGTGGTCATTCTAGGGAAGAGCCACAGCTGCACAAAGCTCCAAAGAAGAGAAGGAGCTCAGTGTCTGAGGTACTAAGACAGCCACTGCAGCTGGAGATGCGGAACAGAGAGGAGGTGTGTGGGGTGGCTCCTGGCTAGTGCGGGAGGCGGGAAGCCAAGCCCCTGACCTCAGAAACCACAGGAAGAAAATAGGGTTTTATTGCCCCCTTGCCCTGTGAAACCACGGGCGGAGTGAAGCAGGCAAGAGGCAAGACCTGATTTATATTTTTCAAAGCTCTCTGTGGCCGCCATGCAGAGTGGGTTTGAAGACTTACAGGCAGGCAGAGGTCAGGGCGAAGAGGGGCACTGAGTCTCCCAGGCAGAGCAGGCAGGGGGAAGGGGGCGCAGGGAGGAGGCAGAGATGGAGGAAGTTCGCTTCCGTATCACAGTTCCCTTCCCAAAGCACAATCTTCATGAGATCAGAGACTGTTTCTGTTCTGCTCGCTCTGTGCTGAGCGCACGGCCTGCTCTTCCTCACAGGCCTCTTGAGTGACTTCGTTTATAATTAACACCTTCTCTGTATTTTGTAAGTGTCACATGAGAATACAGTTCACACCAGGATAAGCCCTGTCACTGCATTATTGCTATAGATGGGGCTGCCAAGAGCCCGGGAACGAATTCTACCTTTTAGACACATGAAATCTGTCATTCACTTAACTTCCCTTCAAGGGCTGACCTACCCTCACTGTTCATCCCTCTGTTTACCCCCATAAGTCAGGAATTGATTCGAAGCCGCTATCTAAACAGGTAAACAAACAAGGAGCCCCAGCTCATTTGTAAGAAGGTGTCAGGGTGATGCATCAATCACAGTGAACCACAAGCATCCACTACGGAACCTGAAGGTCTTGGGCCGGCCACGGTGAGTCACATGAGCTCAGCTCTGCTCTGGCACCTGAGTGCAGCGTCACACACATGGCTTGGGGGGCAAATGTCCCAGAGGGCATGATGAATGAAACTACAAAGACAACAGCGTAGATCATGATGGAGGGGCCAAACGGCTAAGAACTGAGAACTTCTGCCCACAAAAGTTTCACGGGGGCATAACACTGCAATGCACTGCACTGTCCTCCCGTTGTACATCAATTTGCTCGAGCGGGCCTGGTAACATCTCCATCGTGAGACTTGTTGTTACTGTGTTTGGTATATCGAATACGTCACGGCTAGCTTGCCAGGCTTTGCCATGTGGGTGAGATACTCTCGGTAGCTTGCTGGGCTCTCCAAGAGGGGCAAAGGAATCAAACTCAGGTTGACCGGGTCAGCCGCGTGCAGTAATCATTTTTGCCTTTTTTTTTAAAGAGACCCTTGCTGTGAAAAAAAAATAAAAGGCAATAATCTCAAGCCATGGCTAAGGAATAATGTCCTCGTGGTCCAGGGTGCAGGGGCGAGAGATGAGATACGAGAGCCCAGCTTGTTTGTTCTCTTTAGGGACTAGTTGACGGAGGTGCAGACTGTGCCAGATGGTCTCCAGGGATGCTGCCCAGGACAGGGACCCCCACAAGCAGGGAAGAAGGCACAGGCTCTAACTGAGCTTTAATGTGAGCGCAGGCCCCTGCATGGTCCTTCCCTGAGGCACCGCGCTCTAGACAAGGCAGGGGCTGTCCTTGGCTTCAGGACCATTGGCAGCACCGTTGGCTCTTTCTCCAGCTCTTGTAACCCTGTTTAAGGACACGTCACAGGCCTCTGAAGCTGACGCAGCTTCTACATAACTATGGAACTTGTCCAAAGTTAGCTATTCTTCTCTCTCAGTTCCCGGAAGTGCCTCTCCTTGCATTATGTATCGGACCATCCTTCATCAGCATTTGCAAATCACCCTCTTCAGTGGAAGTTAATATCCACCCCTAATATGGAACATGGTTTTTAACATTAATTAATTAATTTTTTATTAAGTCACCATGAGACAAAGTCACAAAATTGTTCATAATTGGGTTTCAGTCATAGCATGATCCAATACCCATGCCTTAACTAGTTACATTTCCCACCGCCAATGTCCCCAGCACCAATGTCCCCAGTTTCCCTCCTGCCACACTCCTCACCTTCCCCCCTGCCCAGCCTGCCTCGATGGCAGGCACTTATCTTCTATCTTCTCTCTTTCTCTCTCTCTCTCTCTCTCTCTCCCCCTCCCCTTTTGGGGATTATGGTTTGCCATACAGGCACTGTGAGGTTCTCATGCATATCCCTCTACCTACCCCCAGCACTCAGTTCTTGTCCAGAGTGATCATTTCCAACTACAGACCGTGTTCTAATCATCTAACCATCAGACTGACTAACGCCCAGATTGATGTCTGGTCCTTAATCATATGTGAATTCAAAGCACAGCAGAGTTTTATTCTCAGTTATGAAGAATTTAAAATGACCTACTAACCATGAGGCCATTGCCTAAAGACGTAACAAGTTAAGATAGATACGCTGGCCAGAGAAAGGGCTCGAAGGACTGGAACACATGCTCGTATGCAAGAGGCCAGGACTTGGTTCAGCCATGCGCTCATGAACTGAGCATACCTGGAATCAGCCCTGGGCACTGAGCCAGGCTAGCCCCTGAGCACCACTGGGGGTGGTGAAACAAACAGGAGATAAGGCTGAGGCTGTAAAGCTTATCTAAACTGTTGACAATGAGGAAAGGTTTTGCAGTACCAATCAAGAGCACAGGATCTGAGGTTGGGCTTTTTTTCCCCCATCATAGGAAAACATTCCATGCCCCGGAAGGAAAGCAAAGGGAAATTTGACTTTATATTGGGACTATGCTCATGACTATTAAATGGCACTAAATTGTCTCTTTTTTTTTTTTAAGCTGTCATCTGATAATGAC